TATCTGTGATGCTCGGCCAGCGTGCTGCACTGGGCACCCCCAGGGCCACCACGCAGCACGGCACACCGGGCCCTGCAGGGAACACGCGGCACTCTGTTTTTAATGCCCGTAGACTCAGATTTCCTTCTCAGGAAAACGGATACGATTTCCATGACTGGAGGCTCCCAAATAAGTGGAATTAAGGCTTCACAGGCCAGCACACAGTGTGGAGGTTAAGGCAGCTGGATCCCACATGGCTGAAAGCATGGTTTGAATCCTGGACCCGGCAGCACATGTGAATCCAGACGGGAGGGAGGAATGGAGCCGGATGGACGAGGACCCTCCCCGGTGAGGAGCTTTCTCACTGCCCTTCTGTTTGTCTCTGTGTTTTTCCAGGGAGTGCAGATGCCCTCTGGCAAAAACTCTAAAGTAAATAAATAAATAAGGCCTCACAGGGTCACTGTCTGAGTGAGCACTTGGGACAAGCACTGTGACAAGCAGGCACTGAGCACAGACGACAGGGCACACCACCTCCGGGCCCTGGGACAGTTTTACTCCAACAGGGACCTCGCCAGGAAGGCAGCCTGGCATGCCGAGTGATGGCTACTCTACCAGGGACAGGCAGACAGCAGAGGGATGCAGGCAGGACGCTTCTCCAAGGCCTTTTCCGGCAGGTGTGGTCGCTGAGATGGGGGAGGGCGGGTTCCCCATGCAGAAGAAGAGCCCGTGCCAAGGCCCGGGACAGGTGCACTGCTCAGGGTCACTAGAGCTTCAGTCACTGAGGGCGAGGGAGGCCAGCCACATCGGAGACAGCCCGACAGGTGGGGCTCTGGGACCCAGGGTGCTGGGAGAAGAGGGCCTGCCCCCACCCTCAGTGTCCTCCAGTGCAGCGTCTGGCCCCGCACTGACGCCATCGGGCCACGTCCCCTCCGTTTCGGCTCTCTAATCCTGAGAGCTCCGTCACCCTAACCGCGGACTGCTCCTTCCCCACAGGCCAGGGCCCAGGGTCTGAAATGCTGTCGCAGCCCCACTTCCTTAGCTTAGTCTGCATACTCCAGATCTGAGCTTCAGAGCCCAGCCTCGGGGAGCTCTGAGGCCCTTCCCAGAACATGCGCGTGGTCTATGACACTGCAGCCCGAGTGTCCCTGCAGAGCCAGCGTCACTTCACGGTGAGGCCCTGAGCCTCACGGCCACGCAGCCACCGCTCCCAGCAGGCCACGTGCTGAGTTCCCAGGAGGTGAGTGTATTTCAGCACCAGGAGACATCTCACTTGAATTCATTGGAGTGATTAAGAGAAAGACGCTGGAATTTTACTTCTCACCCACTCTATCACATGACTTTCTTACATCTCACACGGAAGGGAATAATCTACAGATCCTACCCCTTCGTTAGTGAGGGCTCCAAAATTACCTCAGAGTTGAGTTACACAAAAGGGAGGAGCACTTAGATCTGAAGGGAGAGGCTTGGCTGATGCGTACAGCTCATGCCCCGGGAGAGCATGTCTTTCTGAATTTTAAAACTGGTGATAGGGGCCCGCAGATGGCATAGTGGTAACATCACTGGACCCCCACAGGGCTGACTGAGGTTCAAGTCCCAGACCTGGTGGCCCGAAAATCACACTGGGTGAGTGTGCATGCGAGCCCGAGATCCCAGGAGCAGAGTGGATGAGAAGGGATTGCTGCGAACGGATCATTCCCCCTAGGGGGTGATTTCTCACTCTCTCTCTCTCTCTCTCTCTCTCTCTCTCCTGTGAACGCACGTGCCCTCTGGCAAAAATCACTAAAAAAAAAAAAAAATGGTAAGATAAGGAGCCAGCAGGTGGTATGGTGGTTAAGGCACAGGATCCCACATGGATGACTCTGCAGTTCAACTCCCGGACTCAGTGGCTTGTAAAATATGTTGGGTGCGTGCGCGTGTGCCCAAAATCCCAAGAGGGGAATGGAGGAGAAGGGATTGTGATGTGGCACCCCCTGTGGGGGTGGGGGTTGATTCCCTTTCTCCCTGGCTGTCTACAGTGAGCGCACATGCTCGGGGTGGGGTGGGGATAAAGCCTGGTAAAATGAAACTCTTGGTGTATTAGCTCTAGTAGCACCTCTATTATCCGCCTGTGATGTCGGGACCCAGCCTGCTCACGTACAGATAATACAGGAAGAGGCAGGGAGGCTTTAAATTAAAGTCATTCTAATGGTCAGCACTCGTCTGATAAAACGAACGTATCCTCAGGAGGTCATCTTAATAACTGACCGCGGGTATATCCAGCCCAAGAAGTGCTCTGTCACGAGGCCACACCACGTCGGTGGCATCTCTGAGCTCTCACGTGGGCCGACCCTGCAGAGCAGTTGGAATTCGTGTGAGTTTGCAGACACAGACACTGAGACACAGACAGGTCACGTAACCTGCCCCAAGTCAACCAGAGCAAGCAGCAGGGCGAGGGCTTGAACACGGCAGCCACCACCACCCCAGCAGCACCGAGCTGCCCCGACCCCTGTACACACACGGAGTGATGTTTCTTGCTCTAGCGATGTTCCTGCAGCTCCTTACACAGACGCTGGTTCTCAGACTGGGGCTGAGGACGCCCAGCGTGCGGCCAGCAGGTGGCGTGGTGGTCGAGGTGTTGGATTCCCACAAGGTTGACTGTGGTCCAAGTCCTGAACCCAGGAACTTGAAAATCACAACAAATGAATGGTAAATAAATAAGGGTTTAAAAGCCTCCAAAGGGGGAGGGGGTATCAGTGTGGAACTTTCTGTCCTCACAGAAGCAGTCACACTGAAAAACCAGCTTGTTGGATTCACCCTTTCCTTGGGAGTTTCCCACGTGGATACCAGACGGCTCAGCCTGGAAATGCGAGGCACTGCCTGCCTCTCTGAACACGAGCGTTTTAGGAGCCACTGCGTTAGTGTCAGAAGCCACGTCCTCGTAACTGGAGTCCTTTCCTTTCATCGGATGCTGGACGGAAGTGGCTTTCCCCATAAAAGAGCGAAGCGAACACGGCCCTGTTGTGGGGACCCCTCCACCCTCGCCGAGGAAGGGTGTTCAGGCGAGCGGCTGAGCGTCCCGTTCAGCACCAGAACTTCCCGGCGGGGTGGGGCTGGGCTGGAGGACCTCTGCCTCGGGCAGTCTGGAAGGACCTGTGCGAGGACCCGCGGGGGCAGGAGGAAGCCTCAGCGTTTGGCGCTGCTTCCACGGAGAGTCCCGGAAAGGACCGCGGGGCGACACTCACCGGCCCCGCAGTTCTCCTCGTCGCTGCCGTCCTTGCAGTCCTCGTCGCCGTCACACTGGAAGGCGCTGGGGATGCACTGTCCGCTCCTGCACTCCGCCAGGCCCTGGCTGCCGCAGGCTGGGAGAGGCCAGAACAGAGTCACACCCACGGACACAGGGCAGAGAGGGCTCTCACTCACAGGGCACAGAGACATCTCTCACTCACTCACTGGGCACAGAGACGGCTCTCACTCACTCACTGAGCACAGAGACATCTCACCGGGAACAGAGACGGCTCTCACTCACTGGGCAGTCTCAAGAAATGACGTGTTCTGCATACACTTGTGATGTGTGGTTTTTGTTTTCAGTTCCATGCACTTTTCCCTCCTGGAATTTTCCTTCCCTTAGTAATGATCACTGAGAACCACCCCTCTCGAGAACCACGCTGGTGGTTCCAGCGGCGGCCGCAGTGCCTCTGCTGATACGCACAGCCGTCGTTCAGAGGGCTTCTGACACACGGGGGCCGCCCGGATGCGCGGTGTCTGTGACCTCCAACCCTCATGCAAGCGAGCTGCTGTCACCCTCATGTAACAGGCGAGGGCGCTGCAGTTAGCAAGTTAGCAGTGGCCTCAGAGGCACAGGGTGTTCGGCTGTCAGGCCAGAGTACGCTGAAAGTGTGACTGCAGCCAAATACGCCTGTGTCTACCTGCCCTCATGTGCTAATACAAGTATGTATCTAGAGGCCAGCGAGTGGTGTAGTGGTCGCGGCACTGGACTTCCATATGGCCAACTACAGTTCAAGTCCCAGACCCGGCGACTCGAAATCACGCCAGGCATCTGTGCATGTGTGCTCAGAATCCCAGGAGGACAGTGGAGGAGAAGGGATTGTGGCGTGGCCATCCCCTTTGGGGGTTATTTCTCACTTTCCCTCTCACCATCTCTGTTTCTCTCTGGCTAGTGCACGCGGCTTATGGCAAAAACCTTAAAAGAAAACCATATCTACATGAATGAATCCATGGAGTAGCGAACACACAGGACACCCCTGATTTAAAAATTGTTATGACACCTGCTATCTGAAGGGATGGTCCAGCGGCTGTTCATCCCGACTCCTGCAGGGTCTCTAAACTCCGAGCATGGGGGGTGCAGGATCTACGTGGCTACAGTCTTCCACCGAGCCTCTGTGGAATACTAAGAGCCCGTTCTATAACCAGAGACCTGCACCCGAAGTGCGAGACCAGAGTGTCACGTCTTCTTTCCCAAATTCACTGAGCTCCAGTTCCCTTCGGGATTGGCGTCCAGTAGGCAAGGGTTCAGGGACATCCCACTTCCGGTCAGTTCAGGGAGGAGAGGGCAGGGCGCTTGTTTATGTAGCTTCTCTAGGACTTTATAGGGTCCAAATAAACCATTTAGTTCACATTTCTATTTGTGCCTCAAATTTAAGCCAATAATTGTTCTGTCTCATACAAAGGGTCTTCAAAAAGTTGGTGGAAAGTACAAAAAGATTGCGAAAAAAAACTACATTGACTTCAAAATATTTTTGCACAAAGTAAACTCCTATTTTCATTCTATTCTTGACAAACTTTATAGCGTTCTCTAATTGGTATCAACTCTTTTCTACTTATATTGGACAGCAAACTATGAAATAAATGGTGTAATGAGTTAAAAGATAAGAAAAAAAGTCACATTAAGTCTTTGGTGTAAATTTTACTATCTTTGAATGCTCAACTGCTTCCACTCAATTATTTTTATTATCGTCCACTGGGTTTAGGGTATTTTTTAGGAAGGAAAAGTGTTAACAGTTATACTTGTTGATATTATTTTGGCAGTGTAGCAGCTACTTGAGGATTTTCATTCACTGGGAGACATGCCAGGCTGTAACCGGGCCTCGCCACAGTGCCTCTAGAGGCCGTCTCCTCTCTGGGGATTCCATGTGCTCCCACACATGGTCCCTGAGGCTCCTACTGGGAAGCTCGCCTGGTCATATATGATTTGCAGAAGAAAGGTCCTCCACCTCTGGGAACAACATCTTTTTTTTTAGGTTTTTGCCATAGGGTGCATGTACTCACCAGACAGAGACAGAGAGATAGAGAGACAGAGAAAGGGAAAGTGAGAAATCACCCCCTGGGGGGATGGCCACACTGTAATCCCTTGTCCTCCATTCTTCTCTTGAGATTTCGGGTATGCACACACATATGCCTGGTGTGAGTTTCAAGCACCGAGTCTGGGACTTGAACCACAGTCGACCACGTGGAAGTCCAGCACCTCAGCCACCATGCCATCTGCTGGCCCAACAGCATCATCTTCGACAACGTTGCAGATGCGTTAAGGAGACACATGAGAGAGAAAACAATACTTGCATGACCAAATCAGCCAGACCTGGTGTTTGGGGAACGAGGTGTGGAAATAAGACACCCCCGCTGTGGGTGGAGTGTAGACCCACTCAGTCGCTGGCTCCACAGGGCAGAGCTTTTCCTTCGGAACGCGATTTAGGCAGTGAGCCCTGAGTATAGTCTAAACAAGCGGAAATGGAGAAACAGCGAAAGAGAAATCCCCGGGCACTCACAGCAGTTGAGCTCGTCCGATTTATCCACACAGTCGTGGTCCCCATCACACACCCACTCGAGCGCGATGCAGCGTCCATCCCCACAGCGGTGTTCCTTCGTGGGGTTGCAATCTGCGGAAGATGAGGTCCATGAGGACACAGAACAAGAGGACAAAAACCGAGAACCGTGCGGCCAGTCCCAGTGGAGACGGTCTGTCCCGTTGCACCAATGCCTTCAGTCTTGTTTCTGCACTGGGACTGGCACAATTGGAGTGCCCCACCCACCAGGTACACGCCCACCCACCACCACGCTGCAGGTGACATGCGTCTGCTTTGCAGAGGAGTGACAATGTACCCCGCTGTCACACGCCCCAGCATCCGTTCTCACCGCTGTCCTCTGTTCTCCTTAGTCTTTGTTTTCCATCCTTATGAAAAACTTGTGACCTAATGCTATGTGACGCCAGCCAGACTGAACGAGAGGCATTGTATGTCCCCACTCGATATACCCCGCATGTCTGGGCTCCAGGGAGAAACCGAAAGATTGGAAGGTACGCAAGCACTGAGAGCAACTGTGGATCCCAGAGACAGGGTGGGAGGAGGGCGGGAAACTGGGGGGAGGAATCAAGGGAGAAAGAAAAGGCAAAACATTAATGGGCACAGAAATGGAAGTTCTCTGCGGATGATGAAGTGTACAGTAGGGCCTTTGACTGGGCCGAGACCCAGCGAACTCATGCTGAGAAGACGCGTTCTGTGTGCTGAGCAGATGCACAGGGATTAAATGTAACAAGATCAGAAGGAAAAAAATCCTTGTGATTTCTACACCGACTCACATAAACAGAACCGTGATCTGTTTCAGTGTAGACAGTCGACCAGATGCCTTGCCCTGAGATGGTAAGACCTGAATAGAAACAGCCTTTTCAAAGATACATGTGGGGGCTAGCCGGCGGCACAGTGGTTAAGGCGGCCGGATCCCATACGGCTGACTGTGCAGTTTGAATCCTGGTGCCAGCAATTTGAAAAATACGTCAGGCACATGTGCGTGCATGCCCCAAATCCCAAAAGGACACTGGAGGAGAAGGGATTGCTGCACGGTCACCCCCTTGGGGAGGTGCTTTCTCAATTTCCTTCTCTTTCTTTCTCCTTCTGTCTTTGCCAAGTGTAGGCACCCCTTTAGCAAATATTTTAAAATAAAAATAAATAAATCGAGACCAGCAGTTGGCGTAATGGCTATATTGCTGGACTCCCATGTAGTCGACTGCAGTTCAAGTCCCAGACCCGGTGGCTTAAACTAATGCTGGGTGTGTGTGTGTGTGTGCGTGCCCAAGATCCCAAGAGGAAAATGGAGGAGAAGGAACTGCAGCATGGCCATCCCCCCTGGGGGGTGATTTCTTGCTTTCTGTCTCTGTCTCTCTCTGTTTTTCTGCTGAGTGCACATGCCCTATAGCAAAGACCTCTCCAAATAAATAAATAGATAATGTAAAAAGATGTACGTGAGCACCAGACTCCAGAGTAAGACAGAACCATGCCTTTCCACTAACCGTGCCACTGTCAGAAACAACGCTGGGAGCCCCGTGGATCCTAAAGGGTATTTTGGAGCAATGAGGTGAAGTGGATAGAAGAAAGAATGTATGTGCAGAGAAAGGGAGGAAGGTGCAAGAGGCAGGGCCCTGGGCAAGAGGGATCCCCAAGAGCCATCCACAGTCAGCTTATGAAAGGCGGGGGCCAGGGCAGGAAGGGCCTCGGGGAAGTACATTACTGCCTCTGGAAGAGTCGCCCTGTGAGTGTCCCACCATTGGGAGTGGAATTAGGCTGAGTGGCAAGAGTCTTCTTTCTCAAACAGTAACTATAACCCGGCCCTTCCCAATCACCAAGCTACACGCGCTCCCCACCCCACCACCTCCCTCCATCTTCCTCGTCTTCTCGTGTGTAAGAGAAATCGTTGGAGCAGGGGAGCCCTAAGTCTTCTTGCAGCTACAAATTCTAGACACATAATTATCATTTCTTCTCACTTTTTTTTGTCTCCAAACAACCGAAGAAGATAACCCCCATATTAAAGTTTCCTGTGGAACGGTCTGTGTGAATGCACATTTTTGAACAGTTTTACACAGACAGCGAGGGGAATTCAGATGGCACTCCTAGAAACAGCCAAGTTCCCCCACTCTGCTTCCTCGGACCGCATTCCTGACCCTTCCCCAATATGCCTCCCAGTCTTCTCGAACGCTCGCCCTGTCCCACACCCTCTGCCCGGTGTCTGTCCTCACCCCAGCTTTCTGTTCACACTGCAGTTTTCCTATATCGCAGACCACCTAAACATTCCAGAGCTAGTCACAAAGCCAGAAAGGTACACAAGCGAGGGGAATATGCTGCTTTGAATTCACGAGGTGTTCAGAATGAAACAGGACTCTTTCAACGTGAGGTTCATTCCTAAAAGACCAGGATACCAGCGTTTGTACTGGGAACAAATTCACCATCCCGACTCTGGGTTAGCCAGGGCACAGGCAGGCCACGGAGTGCTGTGGGGGAAGAGAGGGGGGCCTTGGTTACACGCGAGACAACCGGGCCCAGACGCTCTCTACAGAGTTTTACGTAAGAGCCCCAGATCGAAACGTGAGCCACGGACCCAGCCAGAAGGGCAAGAGAATGCTGAAAACAACGAGAACAAATATGAACACACGCACGACCTGTGCACCCCTCTACGCCCCACTTCCTGAGCGGGCTCTCACTGCCATGCTAATGCAGGAAATGCTACAGTGACACACGAGGCAGGGCTGAGATCGGCGGTCGAGCACACTTCTTCCTTCCAAAACATGCTTTAAAAAGTCAGCCTTTTCCTAACGTAACCTGCTCCTCGTGCTGCGAAGAACGGGCTGCAGTCCTCGGCTGTCAACTCTGTGGCTGCGAACAAGCCTCTGGGGCGACAGCGCTACTCACCGCAGTTTTGCTCGTCACTCAGGTCCCCACAGTCGTCGTAGCCGTCACACACGAGGCTGTGATTGAGGCACTTGCCCGTGTGGCAGTGGAACAGATTCTCACCGCAGTCTGCGAACAGAGAAGCCGTCAGAGCGGGGCAGGGGGTTACAGCAGCACTCAAATCGTTGGGTTTTTTGAGATGTTTGTTATAGGGTGCAAATACTCGCCAGAGAGATAGAGGGAGACACAGAGACAGAAAATGAGAAATCATCCCCCAGCGAGGATGGCCATGCCACAGTCCCCTCTCCTCCATATTCCTCTTGGGATTTCGGGCACTCACACACATGTGCCCAGCGTGAGTTTCAAGCCGCCAGGTCTGGGAATTGAACTGCAGTCTGCCACGTGGGAGTCCAGCACCTTAACCACCATGCCACCTGCTGGCTTACCATGGCACTTAATTGAACGAAAACTCACCAGGGGTAGGACACTTTATGGTGACCTGGTCCACACTAATGGCTTCACAGAGACCCAGTGATTGACGAAAACCACCTAAGGAATTACTGCAGAACCACGTCTGGAGTCTGGCTCCCAAGCCGAGCGCTTCAATCACTTCCTGAAAGTTTCTGTCTGACTTCCTTTGTATGGCCTGAAAGCTCCTTGATAGTTGAAGAAGAAAAGAGCCATTCTCAGTTCCTAACAAAGTCTGTGTTCATACAGAACTTCTGGCTTCAGGAGGGGTGAGTCGTTCTTCATCGAAATGTCCTCCTTAGAGTAAAAGCCCAAGCTCGTCACCGGGAAGCATAAACAATGGAGAAAGGAGGCCATCTAGGTTAAAAAGCTATTGCTTTACTGCACATAAGCATTCCTGTTACGTCAACTGAGTGCTCCATTAGGCGATCCTCACGTAATTGCTGTCCAAGGATTACGGAGGCAAGAACACAAGTGACAGAAAACCTCAGGCAGCTAACAGGTTAATGTGAGGTAAGGAACACGCAGGGAAATGGCTAATTTGTTTTTCTGTTCTTTTTTTAGGTTTTTGCATTAGGATGTGTGCACTTGCCAGAGAGAGACAGAGAGAAGGAAACTGAGAAATCACCCCCTGGGGGGATGGCCACGCTCCAGTCCTTTCTCCTCTCAGGGTCTCCGGCACCCAATGCACATCCGCCTGGTGTGATTTTCAGGTTGGTGGACCTGGGATTCAAACCATGGAATCAGCCTTGTGAGATCCGGCACCTTCACCACACACCATTGCTGGTCCAGCCTCTCAGGCTCAGTAAGAAGATCAGATCTCGCACTTGGGAAAGCCAGAATTCCCACCCTCGTTCTGCTGTGGGGTTTCCAGTGCATCAGCTCAGCCGTAGGGATCTGTGAGCTCAGCTCTAAAATCGCAGTGACATTCACTTCACCGCAGTCGGGAGAAGGCATGAATCAAGGGTGTAAGATACCCAGACAAAGTAACGGGGTAAGAACGCTCTTCTCCACGAACGGCGTGGAGGTGATTATCGAATACGCAAAAACTGAACTCTGATCTGCGCCTCAGACCAGACACAGCTGTCAACCCCACGTGAGTCACAGACGTGTCAGAGTGAAAAGTACGAAGCGTCTAGAAGAAAACACAGGGAAGATATCTTCGTGACTTTCTAGTTGGGGAAAAAAAAAATTTACATAAGACCTAAAGCGCGAGCCAAAAAGAAAAAGAGATGGAAAGAATTTCATTCAAGTGGAAATATTTGTGATTCAGAAATAGCGTTCAGAAAATGAAAAGCCAAGTCACAAGCTAGAATAAATTTTGCAAGTCATATATATATAGATAGATATAGATATATACATATATATACACATATATGTATTTGTGTGTGTATATATATGTATGTGTGTGTGTATATATATGTATGTGTGTGTGTATATAT